AAGACAACAGTAGCCGCGTTGGCCAGAGAGCCGTAAACGTGACTGAATTGGCCGGTAATCCAACCCAAACAACCGGAACAGTAGAGCACATCCCCATCGCTATAATTGAAGGCATACTTAAACACCAAAGCACTCAATACCATAAGTCCACCGCTCGTGTGGACTATAGCCTTCTGTTTGCCTGTACTTCCACTTTAAGACATAATTTAAATGTTAATAAATGGCAATTATAATGGCGTTTATATTTAAAACCTCGAAAATATGACAAATAATGGATCTTCAGAATCGACCCAAACTGGAGGACAATCAGTGTCTGAGTTGTCCATCAATTCATGCCACCAGTGGTCGAGTTTGGGGTCCAAATCAATGCTATAGTCTTTCATACTTTGTTCATAACTCCCATCCGACAGATATTTGACAAAAATTCTGGCTTTGATCTCATGATTGCTTTAAAGTTTAAACATTAAAATAAATACAAAAATAAATTCAAATACAAGTCTCTTATAAAATTAATTATACTTTTGTCGGCAAATATCAATCGCTTGGTCTGAATATCTCTTTAAATCATTGAATGATTTATAGCTATAATAGACATCAGAAGTGACCAAAACCTGACACTTCAAGTCAAGCATACGTTCGGCCAAACACTGCGCTGAATATCCCGGGAACTAATGGATGGACACAACTATTGAGACTAAGATAATGATCCCGAAGACGTGGACATCTCATACAGTGTTGGCGTAAACGAGTCCGAGTCTGATGGCAGCCAACATGGAGACCACGGTTTGCAAGACATCCGGCAAATAGTTGACAATCGCGTCGCCCTTCCGGAGACCAAACCCTCTCAAGACGTTCGCAAATTTGCAGACTTTGTCTCTCAGCTCAAGATATGTGAGTGACTTCTTCAGCTCAAACTCGTGGCCAACCCTTCCGTCAAATGCAAACACATTGTCAACGAATGCATGAATGGATCAAATGGTGACAAACCAGTGGTAAGCGATTCGGTCACCAAAACCTAAACTTATGTTTCTATCGATCAGATTATAGCAGACATTGGTTTGCGAGCCACTCATGAAGTGGACGCCAATTGGTGCCGAAGATGTGTCCCAATTGTATGACAAGACTGAAGACTTGTTGCCAATTGTCTGCCACTGGAAGTGTTGACACATTTGTCTCCAGAAGTGGTCGCTATTAATGAAGGACTCTTCGTAGAGACGTTTATAGTGATCGATGGTCTTGATCTCTGTGTCCATTATCACGTCATTAGATGCACTCCTTGTCTCAAATACTATTGATATGTTTGAATGAAAACAAAAATCATATGTTTTTACAAACCATTCACTCATTCAGTCATTCATTCATACATTTCGTCGACTTTTAAACTTTCATTGAATGAAAAGTTTGTCACAAAAGTTATACAGACTTTGATTTGATTGTAACTTAAATACAATTATAAGTATATTTTAAGTTATAAATAGATGCTATGTTTTATATTATGAAGTCAATGAAACAAACATTTTTAATGTGAAAAATAATGGATTTATTGAATGAAATGTTATCACTGTTTGAATGCAATGTTATGTTTTATATATTCAAATAATTGATACAAAGTTTTGGATTTAAGAATAAATGCTTTTATTATTGAATTGAAAATATTTTTGTGGTTTTTGTGTTAGTAATGAGAGAATAATATAATTAATAAATGATTAGTAAATGAATGAATGAATTAATAAATCAATAAAAGTATGAATTCAATGAATAGTATGAATAAAATGAAAACATTTGTCACCATTTCATACCTCCCCTCATGTGTTGGTCCAGAAGTCGTCCTCACGAGTAGTTCATCGAGTGGTCCATCGGTTGGTTCCTCTTGAGGTCGAAGTGGAGTCCAACGAACCAATGGAAGGCTTGTATGGATTGGTGTCAGTCTTCGTGAGAGTTGATCCAAATCTATGGCTGAGATTAGAGGACGAGAGAGAAGACAATGCATTAAATCACAAGTTATTGAATACCTCAAGACATGGGATCCGTTGGAGTCGATGGCAATGCGTTGAAGAGACGAGAGATGTGTTGAGACGACTGTCCAATCGATGGCAACCAATGTCTCCAATCCGCTGAAGAGGTTGTGTTTTGGTGTCCACACAACGAGTGATAAGTCTTTGGCCGCCAATGGTTCCGATGAATCCAATCCAACGCTTGTGTCGATCGGTGTCTTGTAGAGTTTTGTTTAAAATTATTAAATTAAATAATGAGAAAATTGTGCCCTTAATAGGGTTTGGTTTGATGTCTATTACATTTGTATTTAATACACCACTTAATCATATATTACTTTTTGGTGTTCCCAATGCCATAGTATTCACTATTAGTTGTTATTATTTATATAATATATTCTTTTGTAAAGGTCTCTATTTCTACTTATTATGCTTTTATTTAAAAATTAGGATTAAATCTATAGAAAACATGTTGCTCAAGAATTTTAAAACTAAAATCATTAACAATAATTGTATCAAAAATATCGTCATTTCATACAATAGTATTTCCACAGATATTAGTGAATATAATAACTCATACTGGTCTCAATTTTTGTTATATTTGTGGCTTACATTAGGTTCAATTAATGTTATAGTAATTTTTATGGTCATATTTATGCCAATGAGCATAATATATAAACTGATGTGGTTTTATTTGTTCATGGTACTATTTTCAATATTTCTATTCGTTATATTCACGGCTTCTTCAGTCAATTATGGGATCAATAAATATTATAAATCCTTTAATTCATTAACGAAATTATATTCACAAAGTGCAGGACGACAAAAGAAAATACAATCACTACAAACCAAATTAAAAGTAAGTTTAAACCTTGCTTGCTTAAATGTTTTTAATTAATTCTAATGTTTTTTACAGTTAATGTTAGCAATCGAAAGGGTTTCACAAAAATCGCTGGGCTTTTCGTGTTGGAAATAATTTACTATTAATTATTTCAAGTGCTATGAAGTGAGAGTGAATTTGTAATATATAAATGAGTTATAATTATGTTTTATTTTACAGATTTTAAGTCTACTGCCTCTATTATTACTAAAAATTATTGAGATGACAAACAAATAAATGTTAATTACAAATTTGTTTTTACTTTAATATTTGTATTTCAAAATCATAACAAATAAATTATTCTTTTATTCATAAAATATTAATTAATTATTTTAATCAATATTTGTTATGTGAATTCATTATTTTATCAATTTGTACTTATTCAAATGAATGAAAACAACATTTTCATACAATTATCTAGCATTATATAAGTAATTTTGCTAATTGAATTATAACTTAATGATACATAATTAAATTAATGGTTATATATTTAAATATTGAATTATTTCTAAGCGAATTTAAATTATATGAAATGTTTATTTCACTATTTCTAATTGTCTGATATAAAGCAAAATTTAATCATTTTATTGAAGCAGTCTATGAAGTATCATTTACAATCTCTTAAGGATTAACCAGTAAATTGTTATATTATTTTTTAATACAATGGAAAATATCGATATAAACAAAGTGCTACCACAACATTTATCCATTAAGTCATTAGATAATCATTTGTATAGAATTGGTTTGTGTATCACTTCGTATGGCAGTAATAACCGCAGGGCTTTTATAAACACCCCGATTATTTTATTCATTCATGTAGTCATATATTGGTTTAAATTCATGGCTTGTATTCTTATCACAAATGAATTCGTGTTAAGAGTTTTGGCAGATTTCGCTCATTTCATGGGAATTAGAGTTCACTTCAATTTAGCGGCCCTTCTATTCACCACATCTTGTATTTTGATTCAAATCACATATTATTATAACTACAGGAATGGTGTGAAACCGACATTCCTTCGAGTATTTCAAATGATGTCCGGCTCTAAGACACCTAAATCTGTTGGTCTTACAAATCAAACACAAATTTTTGCATTAATCAGAAGAACTAAAATTTTGTACAAAATTATTAAACTAAACAACGAGAGAATTATACCTATTATGGGCTTTGCTTTTATAATCCTAACTTTTGCATTCAATACATCACTCTATGAATTATTAATGTTTGGTATTCCCAATGCTTTCATATTTATGGTGGCTGTCTATCAATTGTATAATATATACTTTTTTCAAAGTTTTTATTTCTATATATTGTGTTATTATCTAAGAATCAAGATCAAGGCAATTAATAGTAAACTAATAAATGTTTTTAAGCAAAATAACTACACTGTTCAAAATACTATTGCTTCTTATAACCGTATTTATGCTGAACTTATTGATTACAACAACTCGTTTTGGTCAAAGTTTTTATTGTATTTGTGGCTAATTATGGGATCAATAGTTGCTAATATAATATATATTGTTTTATTTGTGCCAATGAATATTTATTACAAGTTAATATGGGTTTATATCAGTATAATATTGTCAACACTTTTCCTGTTCATAATATTCACGGCTTCAGCGATTAATTATGAGATCAACAATTCATATAAAGTTATCAACTCTTTTATGGCTCACAATTCCCATATAAATGACAGAACAAAGCATACAATTTATGCTAGTACCAAAATAAAGGTTAGTTTTATATTATTTTTACTCAAAATATTTTATAATAACATTTTCAATACAGTTATTGGTATTAATCGAAAGAGTGGGACAAAAAACTCTGGGCTTTTCGTGTTGGAAGTTATTTACAATCAATTATTTCAAATGCTATGAAGTAAATACTCAAACAAATTATTTTCACTTAATTTTATACTTAATAACTAATATTTTATTTTTCAGATATTATGTTTACTATCACTGCTTTTCTTAAGAATAATTCAGATGTCAAGGAAATAAAATAATATTCATTTTACTGTAATGTAAAGAATTTTTTATTATCAAACATTGAAATGCAATTAAAATAATAAAAATATTTTTGGAAACGGATTTGCTTTGAATTAGTGAAGAATAGGGTTCACTATCATTGAGTTCATACATTTGAAACACCTATCGGTGGTTGGCTTTCACTCACTTTGAGACCCATTACCACTATCGGGGATCCAATCTGACTCGTGAACCACTTTGATTTGAGACATATTTATAATTTGCTCGCCTTTTGTATGTCTCTCTTTGTAGGACTTGTGGTGCTCTTTATGTGTGGTATACCTCTCATACCTTTCTTGACTCAAATGCATTTTCATGAGACGGCGATTGACATGAATGCAGTACAAGTAAGTGATGACCAGAAGTACAACCAGTAAAGTGATGTAAACCCCTATAAAACTGGTCACATATTCTTCTAAAATACCCATTTCTGTGACCACTTTAACATAGATTTGGTATACAATTGGATTTAAATTGAGTTCATTTGAGTCAATATCTCGTGTTTTTGTCATTTAGTTATTGTATTTCCTATTCAATAAATTCATTATGTATTAGAAGTGAACTATTATTTACATATTTCAAATTGAATTTGAATTCAAATCTCAATAAATAATAATTAAAAACATAATAATCGCGAGAATTCATTCAAATTAACGTATTATTCAACGGTTTTTGTCTCACTCTTCAAAAGCCTATCAAACGATTCACATCTCAAGCGATTACTTCTTGCGATTCACCACTCATTTCACGACAATTACCACTACTTTCGACATCAACTCAACCATTGGATCAAAAGCAATGTTCTTCAAAAGCCTATCAAACGATTCACATCTCAAGCGATTACTTCTTGCGATTCACCACTCATTTCACGACAATTACCACTACTTTCGACATCAACTCAACGATTGGATCAAAAGCAATGTCTGGAGGAATAGAAAGAATGGGAAAGGGGTCTACGGTTAGGGATAGGGTTGGGGACAAACATCGGGTAAGGGTTAGGGCTGTAGTGAGGGTTACATTGAGGACAGGGAGGCGATGGGTTCGGAGGGGGTGTTCCATGGCTTGGAAGTCCATCCGGAGATGTGTTGGTCGGGAACCAGAGGACAGGGAGACTCCAACACAAGACATGGAACCGATCGAAGAGATGTCGACTCAAGACATCCCTCAACAACAGGTGGACATCGACTTCAAGACACCGATCGACACAAGCGTTGGATTGGATTCATCGGAACCATTGGCGGCCAAAGACTTATCACTCGTTGTGTGGACACCAAAACACAACCTCTTCAGCGGATTGGAGACATTGGTTGCCATC